ATATCAACAAATAAAATAATTATGTGTGACTTATATATTTTAGTCATAGAATATTCTTACTAATCAATTGTGTAAACAGTGCTCAAGAATTTCACTCTTATTTCTACCCAAAAAACTAAGTAAATGTAAAATGTATGTACAGTAAGTAAGTCTATAAGAATTAGTAAATAACTTATTCTAATTCTGAAAATTAAATTAAACAAAAAGCTTCACATACTATACTTTTCTATGTAATCTACTTATAATATTTTATTCCTGATTTATGTTTTACAAGTTAGTGAATACAGAATATTTTGAGCACAATTTACCAAAATTTCATTTTGATGTTTTAACAAAAATCACTATTATTTACAAAGAATTATATTTCGACAAACTCTCTATCATTTGGACAGATGTTTGTCCGAAATTTAATATAATATCAGAAATTTGGTTTACGTTTGGTTGAAAAGTTTTCTATTACTAGCAGATAATCATTGCATTGCTTCTTATAATACTCTTTTCCAATTCAGTTATGTTTTTATCTATATTTTAAACTTTAAGAGAATATACTGTAAAAAGTGAAAAAATTGATTTTTTCAGAATCACTTTATTGACTGAATGTCAGGTCGATCAGGGTTTGGATTGACTAAAACCAGACAATAATCTTTACGATGACAGAAGTACTGTACAGTACGTGATTCAATACATATTCTCGTTATTGATTTGAAATAAATTATCAAAATATTTCATTTAACATTTGAACAATTGTTTTTAAGTTAAAAAATATTTTCTGTTTTTATTGCTTATTAGTAATAGTAATTATTAATAAGTTATTAAGTTAAAATACGCTATTTTTCAACAAATTTCAATTATTATTACCAGAAATTTAAAATATTACTTAATATTATAAAAATATAAAAAGTTAGGTTTGTTAAAACAATGTTAAAATAAATGTTAAATGAATGCAATTTTACGTAATATAGTAATCATATTATACAATACAGTAGTTATACAGTAGTTATACAAAAATAAAAAATAAGTTGTAATAAAATAAATTGAATTGAATTTAGAAATCTTCAAACGCTCTTCTGTTGTATCGTTTGTTTCGTGTTTGGAGTTTCGATTGCATCCTATTTGGCATATAGTGCAAGAAAAGTGTCAATTAATACTATCGTATGTATACAATAGAGACCAATACTATGTGTGACATACCAGGGCTGTAGATCAACACCTTTGTTGGCGGGGATGTGTTTGAGTCTACAGGACCTGTACTGATTGCAACCGGTAGTCCTCCAGAAGTAACACTCACCCGACGTCTTCCATAAGTAGTATTCATTACTTGGCTGTCGATCTGTCGGCCAACTAATTGATGGATAATTTTTGGACTCAACTAATGGACGAAACTTTATACTCAACGTCTCGTTTTGGATACAAATGTTAGGCATATGCACGCCCTTTAAGTCATTAATAAATTACAAACAATTCATTAGAAAAGGCTTTTCGTTGTACTAGTGGTCATGTAAATAAGGATACAGGTGCCCATCAAATAGCCTATAATTGTTCTAAATATAAACACAATTCCAATCTCTCTCTCTCTCTCTCTCTCTCTTTCTCTCTCTCTCTCTCTAAAAGTTATTAAATTTATTAAATGATTAGCTAATGAGCACCTGTAGTTTAGTAGTGAATAATCTGGAACAGAGCAGTACCTGAAGCCTAGACATGGCAACCCGGGGTGACTCTGGGTTATCGAAGTGAATGACAGCGGTTTGTCTTTCAGGGATCACATGAATGGCAACAATAGTGCCATAAGTGCTGAGAATGTCTCGCAATTGTCTCTTTGTGTGTTCGTTGGGTATGATGTTTGACACACAAAGACCTTTGAATCGCCACACATTTGTTGGTCTAATGGACACACAATGGATAGACATTATTATTGACACACATTTGCTATTTATTTAAACTTTTCATAAGAATTACTCAGATTTTCGATTCAATTCATTGTAACTATTATTATATGAGCGAAAAGAAGAGCCATTCCTCTTGGAGTCGTCCCAAACGGCGTTCATTTGATCAGTTGATTCAGTTCTGCGACCATTCCTCCGGTTGAAACCACTCTTCAAATTGCATTCATTGCTAATCTCTGGTTCGCTTCCAAACGAATCAATAGACTTATTGTCTTCAAATCGATTCTTCGGATCCCTTTTGTTCTCACGAATGGATCGTTTGATTGGTTCACAAATGAAGACCAGATTGTCTTCACTCTTATTGTCATTCGAATCCGTATTTGTATTCAACAGAAAATCGCTAATCTTTTTGAGGACATTCCTCTCAGGATTACATCCCTTTCCACTCGAATAAGAGTTAGTATGAGTCAACGGAACATCTATTCTGTGCTTCACATCCGAGTGTTCACTGGATCTCTCTTTCGGGAGACAATTGTTTTGAGTTTCAGACAAAACTCTTTTAGCGGACGACGCGTTTGTCTTATCGTAGGACAGGTTTATCTGGTCTTTGGTGATGGTGTCGATGGTGTCCTCAATATTCTTGGACCGATTGGCCACTTGTGACGCGACGGTGTGTCCGACACCGCACTCGATGGCGGCGAGTGTGCGGACGTGCGTCAGCTCGTCGATGGCCTCGTGACAGGTGTTGGCCTCCAATCGCATCACTTGCAGGAAGTGGTGCTCTGCCTCTCGCAGTCGCTTCAGTCCCTTCAGAGCCCTTCCGACACGGAAATGACATTTACTGTTGTGTTGGTCGAGAGCGAGTGCCTGATGGCCGTCACAGAGGGCTCTCTCGAAGTTGTGCAACTGATCCCAACAATAGGATCTGTTGACGAAATAGCGGTATTCGTATGGATACAAGTGGATGGCAGTGGTGTAGAAGTCGATGGCTTGGGTGTAGTGCTTGCGGTCCACGCATCGGTTCCCATTCCAGCCGTTCCAACGACTTCTGGCGTATTGTTGGCTCTTGTGGTCCATGTGTTGGGTGTTGTCTGTCGTGACAGTTGTGGTCGTGTGTGAAGAGTCCATCAGTGCATCACTCGTCACACGATTCAGTCATAGAAATCGTGCAAAACTCATGACCCGTGTGTTGAGCGCGCGTTCACTTCACTCACGTATTACTCGACTCTTTGGTCACTGATTGTTGTCAACTCACTCTCACTGACACTCAATCACTGCAACAATCATTCACTCAATCCTAGTATTTATGTATTTATGAGAAGCGATCGTAAGCTTACAGTAACTCGTGATTAGTATTTGTGAGTAAAGGCTTGCTTTCAATGTGTGTCTGCTTTCTAATGATTCACATTTATCTCACATTATTAGTGCATTATTTCAATTCAATTCAGTTAGTTATACTACCCTTATATAAATGAATGCAAAAATAAAGTTATATAAT